TACAATTTTGAATTTCCGCTTGTCTTTGGCAATGCCTCTTTACGGCTGTGCTGTCTGCTTGATGGAACATTCTCCCTAGATCGTAAAGCTATATATACGATCTAGGAAAAAAGTTTTGAAATTGAATCCGCCTAACGTAACGCTGCACGTGGAGCGCAATAGAGCGAGTAAGAGGAATTTCCTCATAAGCGGCTATGTTAAGTCTATTGCACCGTGCAATAGGGCTATCCTTCAGTGCAATAGACTTAACACAGCTGCTTATGAAGACCCAATGATGACCCAAAAGCCAATGAAAACAAAGAGTCTGAACTTGTTCAATAGATATAAGCAAACTGTATGAACGTAACAAACAAAATAAACGAACCAAGTGAACGAACGGTCAAAATTAAACGTGACCCAGGAGTTCTGTCAAGAATGTGAACGAAGGTGATGACCAGGGCCTGCCGGCCTGGCCAACCATCGATTCCAGGTACTGGGTAGGCTTAAATGTGGATTGTATCACACTATGTAATGAGTTTTACACCAGGCTATGATTAAGGCCTGGCTAGGGTATATGTATACATTGTGTAACAACATATCTACAGTAGAAATTAAGGTGATCACATATGTATATTTAGCGCTTTTAAATCCAAAACAACGATAAATAATTTCAGCAAAATATAAATAAAAGTCTGATTCACGGATAATCGCAGCTTTATTGGCGGATGTGCAATTTATATAGGACACCCTTTAAGAAGTTAGCAACAGGTAACACAGTGCTGCCAACATAGTGTATTGCGGGAAATTAAAAATTATGAACGCCGTAAATTTATTATTTTCTGTTGAAAAAATGTATTTTCCAAATATGAGGTTGGGAATTGTTCTGTCAATACTTGATAGGATTTGTTAATTTTTTTTTTAGTGTGACCAAGCGAGTGAAGCTCACGAGGGCGCAAATAATTTTTATTCCAGCAAAGAAATTCAAATTTGCCACGTTTTCAATTTTGAATTTCCCGTGTTACACTATGTTGGCAACACTGTGGAAAATGTAGCTAACTTCTTAAAGGGTATCCTCAACTGCACTTTCACCGCTTTATTAAACACTTTTTAGTTACGTACAATGTTTAATTTTTAGAAAAATACAAGAGAATGATGATTAAATTTTTCTATATTAATTCAGCTAAACTTTTTTTCTCAAAATTTGCGCATTCTCAGAATTTTTCCTTTTAGTTGTTTAACTTTCTTACTCAGAATTCGTTCAATGTGTAAAGAAAAGAATAAACGAGAATAAACAAACAGAAGATTATTGGAAGCGCTTGTTGTGTGTCTCACAATCCACATGTATGTGTATGTGTGTGTCAGCTGAGTTAGGTCCCGAAGGTTATGTACCTGTATTTGCGATGTGAACGTGAACCCGCCTGTTGCGCCGCCCTCGTGAAAATGAAACTGTCGGGAGGCAGGTTAATAAACCGAAATAGCATGTCTAAAATACGAGACATTTACGTAAGTTCTTATGTAATTTCTTATGTCACTTCTTATGTAATTTCTTACATATGTTCTAATGTAAGTTCTCATATAAGTTCTTTAAATAGAACTTATGTCAGAACTTGTACACGATCTTACATTTGCTTATCAACCGAGAACTTACATAAGATCTTATGTAATTCCTTATGTAAGTTGTTATTTAAGTTCTTATAAGAGTTCGTGAATCAGTCGTTTAAACGTATTTAATTACTATCTACATACATACACGGTGAATTTTAAAATTTTTTCTGCACAAAAGATGTTAAATAGCTAATACAAATTAGTAAATACAAAAAAAAGCATTTCTTATCTTCACTAAGGGGATTTGAACCTGGTCCGGAGAATCCCTTGTCAAGTGTCTTACCCATTTAGCCAGAGTGGATTCGATACATGGGAAAGAATTATTTCGTGGATAACATTTAACACCTTGGTTATCTCATTGGTTAATGAACATGTTATAAACGTACGTATAACATTGTTTTGAGTCTGATAATGCGTTTCTTGACAATAAATCTTGTAATTGATTTTACAACTAGTTTTCGATCACAGATTTTATTTGAACTTTACTTGTACTTTTTATTCTAAGCGAAAAATAAAAGTGTAATAAATTTATTGTAATTGTTACAACAACAAAGTTGAGGATTAACTTCTTCTTTTCAATACTTTAATGTCGGTATCAAAAACCAGCAGCAAAAATAGTTTCTCACTTATATAAACATTACTCAAAAGATTATATAAATTCTTATTACTACACATGAAATAAAGTTAAAAAAAAAAGTATTTGATTTAAATAAGAAGTGGAAAAACACGTTCCTTAACTAGTATCAGAGATTGTAGAAAGCAATAATTTGAGGACTCAATAACATCGATGTTAGTATCAGATGTACCATATGAGGACGTCAATTCTTTCCCATGTATGGAATCCACTCTGGCTAAGTGGGTAAGACACTTGACTAGGGATTCTCCGGACCAGGTTCAAAACCCCTTAGTAGAGGTAAGAGATCCTTTTTTTTGTTTTTACTAATTTATATTAGCTATTCTAACAGCTTTTAAGCAGAAAAAATTTTAAAGTTCACCATGTATGTATCTTATAGATAGTAAATGAATACGTTTAAACGACTGATACCCGAAGTCTTATAAGAACTTACATAAGAACTGACATAAGAAATCACATAAGATCTTAAGTAAGTTCTTGGTTGATAAGCAAATGTTAGTTCTGACACAAGTAGTGATAAAAGAACTTATATGAGAACTAACATAAGAACTGACATAAGAAATTATGTAAGAAATTACGCAAGAACTTATGTAAGACCTTATGACAAATTTTTAGCTGGGAGCCTATGCATTGGTGCAGTGTTCTCCAGTGTAAATTTAAAAAAGGTTTCTATACGTACATCAATTACCAAAGGATAAAAAACAATACCAAAGTAGGTAGATAGTTGCTTGTAAGATTGGCAAACGCATATATAACCTCGAGTATGATAGTGTGTGGCTGAATAAGGTTTATTTACCTGCCTCCCGTTAGTTTATTGATTGTTACGAGGGCGGCGCAACAGGCGGGTTTACATCGCGGATATCCCGAGTAGAATACTAGAAATAGAGAGTGGGCAGCCCAACTTAAACGCATGGTTCAAATCAAGCAACCAAGCCTGGTTGCAGGTGGGTTTGTAATACGGTACTGTCCTTGGGGCAGCTTGGCCTGACTTGCCATGACTTTCGCCCAGTAATCGCATACTTTTGTCTGCACTGATATTTGATATATATATAAGCATGTAAGTCTGTACGTATATACATGTGTACGTCTGCGCGCGTACATGTCATACTATTTGTACACATATATAGACGTCTCTGTAGCATACTTATCTGCAGACCGAAGTCATGCCAAGTTAGGCCAAGCTGCGCCCAAGTCAGCGCCATATCACAAACCCACTAGAGGTTATGATTCCACCATCGAGGCTTGGCCATGCTCTTTCGATAAACTCATCATATTACTGGCCACCTATCGTGTTTAGCCACGGCCGTCTAGCGACCATTTTGCCGGGCTAGAGGATATAGCGATAGATATATAAGATGTATAGACTGCTCAATCTTACGTACGGCACTAAATATAGAGATATTATAGGTAGAGTAAGAGTAAGCATAAGCAAGCCACCGATTCTTCTGGAAGTGGAAGCGTTAACACGATAAAAAGAGATGCAACATCGAATTTACTGTCTATCTCTCTCTGTGGTCGCTACTGGGTCTGATCGGGGCATTCGAAATCTCGCTTAAATAAGCAGTTTTTTCGATAATCCCTATAAAATAACCAAAAATAACGATAATGCGCATGCGTAGTTTAGAGATTATCGAAAAAACTGCTTACTTGAGCGGGATATCGAACACCCCGATCAGACCCCTGATTGCATGCCTACATATACGTAAAACATCGGAAGCCCGAGTAGGAAGACTAGAAAGAGACACGTACAGCATTAAGCGTGGGTAATCTGTCTCCCTCGCACATTGCCAACGGTAGGGACTGAGGGAGGTTGTATCCATAGAGATACTATACATAGGAACTGTCGGAAAGCTTGATGTAGGCTGTAGGAGCATAAAAGCGCTAGAGAGAGAAATTGTATACACTTATGTAACCAGAAAATATACATGTAACCATTTCAATATCTTTGTACATATATACTACCTTTTTGACACTTATCCACCTGGTGGAGAACTTGGTACTGCTACGAAATTGCGACAGACCGCACAAAGCATAGAGGATAGAGGTGGTATTTCGTACCGTGTTACAATTACAAACCCACCGGAGCCACTAACACCCACTAAACCGAAGCGCGTCCACAAAATGGCTGAATACCGGTGTAAAACAGTAAAGCGGCTAGCATGAACATTGAACACACGATTTTCACGTTCGTAGTTTCCAATGGGTTTTACGAACTATTTCAAATCATAGACATATAAGAAATATAGACTGCTCGTTCCCGAGTAGAAATTGAAAGTGGGCGAAAACTGGGCCCAAGCTTGGCTGCCACGCTGCCTACCTTGGCCGCAGCTTGCCACCCATAGACATAAAAAGTAGACTGCTAGTTCTCATCTACGGCGCTGAAGCACAAGTAGAAAGAGACACAATATCAAACGTGGGTATCTCTCTCTCTTGCACATTGCCAAAGGTGGGGGTCAACAAACTAAAGCCAGCTGATGCAACCTCCCCACCGTTGGCAACATGAGAGAGAGACAGACAAGTTCGGTATTGTACGTGTCTCTTTCTACTTGTGCTTCAGTGCCGTAGATAAGAACGAGCAGTCTACTTTTTATGTCTATGGGTGGCAAGCTGCGGCCAAGGTAGGCAGCGTGGCAGCCAAGCTTGGGCCCAGTTTTCGCCCACTTTCAATTTCTACTCGGGAACGAGCAGTCTATATTTCTTATATGTCTATGATTTGAAATAGTTTGTAAGACCCATTGGAAACTATATGAACGTGAAAATCGTGTGTACATGCTAGCCGCTTTACTGTTTTACACCGGTTTTCAGCCATTTTGTGGACGCGCTTCGGTTTAGTGGGTGTTAGCATGAGAAAATACAACGCTCGACTGATACACTGTTCAGTATCACGTGTTAGTAATTGAAATAGTTGAAAATTAATTACCAATTTCTGACTTTTTTTTTATCTAGTCATTTTTGAAGGCCTAATTTTCAATACTTGACCGATTAAAAGTAATGAAAACAGAAGAGTACGTACTGTTCTATGTTTTTACACTTACATTTATGCATTTTAAGTAGACTATTGTGGCAGTGTTAATTTCTTGCGAAATATAATTGAATTTGCGGTTTATTAATGTTATATTAACCCACCTTGAACCTCAATGTATTCATACTAGTAGTGTTAATCTTATCTTCTGAATGTTATTTATTTAAACGTCACAATGTAGACGATTTTGCACTTTTTAAATAACGATTCTAATAACTTTACAGTTTAATAGATGTAACAATTTATATAATATAGTTTATTTTTGTTCCACATCATCTACTTTCAAGTATCTTATTGTTTCTCAAGTAATTTGTGTTGTTTCTTTGCAGTAGTAACATGACTAATAGTGACGACAGAGACAGAAGTAGAGAACGTGATAGAATTCGTAGGTCTGATCGACCAAATCGTGTGACCTCTAACAGTCGAGACAGAAGTCGTGATAAAAGTGATAGAAATCGCAAAATAGCAGATCGGCGTATTTATGTATCGAATATACCATATGATTTTCGTTGGCAAGATTTAAAAGATTTGTTCAGAACTGAAGTTGGCAAAGTAGCGCATGTAGAACTTTTTACAGATGAAAATGATAAACCCAGGGGTTGTGGCATAGTTGAGTTCGAAGATTCTGAGTCTGTCAAAGTTGCAGTAGAAAAAATGCACCGATTTGATATTAAAGGACGCAAACTTGTTGTTAAAGAGGTATGTTAAACTATTATATTTGCAATTGTTTATTTTATCCCTTCAATTTTTTGATAGGATTATGATGTTGAACGTGACAAATACGGACGATTGACATCTGGACGAGTTAGTGATAGAGGTCGTGAAGAACGATTCAGAGATCAGTCAAGATTGATTTCTGGTAGACAAAATATACAAGTTTCGAACAGTGTTGGTGTTGGCAGTGGAGCCAGTAGCGGTGGTAGTAGTGCTGGAACTGGGAATGTTGACAATAAATTCGGCAATACATATGGACTGAGCACTCAGTTTTTAGAATCTCTTGGAATAAATGGACCACTTGTAACAAGGATATTTGTTGCAAATGTATAATTTTTAGTTGTCATAATTGTTATACTGTTTATTACATAACTATTAATTGTTTTCTTTGTTTGAAGCTTGACTATAAAGTTGATGAGAAAAAATTACTGGAAGTATTCAAATTAGCAGGAAAAGTTTTGCATGTTGAATTGGGTAAAGACAAAGATGGAAAATCTCGTGGATTTGGGGTAGTAGAATATGATCATCCAGTTGAGTCAGTGCAAGCCATCTCCATGTTACATAATCAGCAGCTGTATGATCGTCGCATGACAGTTAGACTTGACAGAGCTAATGAACCAGATATGCCCCCCAAATTACCTGAAGGTACTGTAACTGAGATTTGAAAATATTTCTGCCCATTATTTGGTGTGATCAGATTTACTATTTAACAAAATATTATCTTGCAGGCTTGAAAAGCATTGGAATGGGACTTGGTGCCGGAGGAAATAGATTAACAGATGTAGCTAGAAATATTCCAAATGTTCAACCATCTAATCTGCCAGTAGCTAACTCTCTTACTACTCCAGTAATACCTACTAGCGCATTTGGAACTAGCCTGAGCAATGTTGTTCCTGCACAACTAGGTATATCATTCAATCTATACATTAATGTGCCCAAAGTGTGTATAGTATCAAATAGTTGACAAATTTCTTTAGGAGCAAGTTATTGAAGGCTTAGGTTTTTCATGAGTTAAGTTACATAGAGGTCGGAGAGTATAGCAGATATACTTGTAGTGCCTTTGGTAAGACAAACGGGCAAACATCTGCCTTTTTGATTACGTTTTGTTGTGCTCTACGAAACCTTTAACTAATTTGAAGGGTTACTTGTTAGTTTTATTGCTGTAATCAAAGTGCATAATGCCGTGTTGCAATTTTTTTTTTTTTTCCTCATCCACACCCAAGTGTGGTATTGTGTATTTTTTTTTGGTACGCCAGCCTATGGTGAAAAAACGATTCATAAGCTTAAAAAAAGTTACACAATTTGCTTCATACATCACTACAGAGGGTCAAGGAGCAGTGTGGCTGAAGCGGGAGCTAGAGATGATTAACTTACTAACTGGCCACATTAAGAACCAACACGCACACAATCATAATCAACCAATCACTGGCTAGAAATCTCATGCTGTGAGCTTTACAAGTAGAATGATATATATCAACATGTGAGAGCAATATACATCGATTTAGCTTCTGTGTAGAGCCCTAAACATGGCGGTCCATTTGCCACTACTCAATTGTCTCTTGACCCTATGTATACATGCACATTCCCAGCGTTGGGTTAGGCGGATTGAATATCGGAACTTTTTCCCTAGATCGTATATATAGCTATACGATCTAGGGAGAATGTTCCGTCATGTAGACAGCACAGCAGTGAAGGGGCATTGCCAAAGACGCGCGAAAATTAAAAATTTTAATATTATAACACAAGTGCCTATCACCCGATGACCTGAGGCGCTCACTGGTCGCTTCATTGAACGATATATATTATTGATTAATAACACAAGTGCCTGTCATCCAATGACCCAGGGTGCTTACTTGCCACTGTATAAATTAATAAAAGGTTAATTAATATTCCAATGGCCTATCACCAAGTGACCCGGGGCGCTAACTGGCCTCTATTAAATAATAAAGTATTAATTATTAACACAAGCGCCTATCACCCGATGACCAGGGGCGCTCACTGGTCGCTTTATTAAACGATATATATATTATTGATTAATAACACAAGCTCCTGTCACCTAATGACCCAGGGTGCTTACTTGCCACTGTATAAATTAGTAAAAGGTTAATTAATAACCCAAGGGCCTATCACCAAGTGATCCGGGGCGCTTACTGGTTGCTCTATTAAACGATATATATTATTAATTTTATAGCACAAGCGCCTGTCACCCGATGACCCAAGGCGCTTACTGGCCTTTCTAATAAAATGTTAATTAACAGCACAAGCACCTATCACCTGACGACCGTTGTGCTATTAATTAATAATATATCTCGTTTAATAAAGTGACCAGTAAGCGCCCCGGGTCACTAGGTGTTAGGCGTTTGAGTTAATAATTAATATTTTATTATTTAATACAGTGGCCAGTAAGCACCCTGGGTCATCGGGTGAGAAGCGCTTGTGTTAATAATTAATACTTTATTATTTAATAGAGAGGCCAGTTAGCGCCTCGGGTCATTGGGTGATAGGCACTTGTGTTATTAATATTACAATTTTTAATTTCCGCGTGTCTTTGGCAATGGCCCTTCACTGCTGTGCTGTCTGCTCGACAGAACATTCTACCTAGATCGTATGGCTATATATATACGATTTAGGGAAAAAGTTCCGATATTGAATCCGCCCAACCCAACGCTGCACATTCCTTTGAAACAACGCCACCTACAGGGAAATAGATTTTAATACCAGCTTTGGTCCCAATGGTCAAAAAAATGATGCCAAATGTTGGCAAAAATGATCTTTGCTTACCTCCACCGCTATCGAAACTTTCCGTTGAAAAAGTTCCGAAGCCAATCAGAGCAGAGCTACACACGAAAAGACCTTTTTCATTGAAAATCCCCTACTTCAATATTTGATCACAAGAAGTACTAGACCAACGTTATATTTATTGCTTACTTACACAGAAATTTTTAGTCTCACCTTTAGTGATCTTGAATTATCTACTGAGTATACTGATTTTAGGACATCAGTACGACTATTTATTGGTGGTGGTACGGTTTTTTCCCTTACCATCAGTAGCCGTGAAAAGTAGATGCACCCAGTCAGTGTATACGACGTACTATAGTGCGCAGAGCAGTACTTATTTTATATTTTTAAATGCATACATACATGCGCGCTTGCGCACACACACACACACGCGAGCGCATACGTGTGTGTGTATAGTAAGCCTCTTAAAATCTGACACTGATATATATATACTTGGAGAGTAAATATACAGTATACCTAACAGTATAATAACATAACCTAATACTAACGTATTTGAGTGTAGGTTTTAAGTAGACCTGGTACGGGAAAAATCCTTACCAAGCTATGACAAACACATAATTTCGTGTGGTAGAGGATTTTTAGTGAGACAATAGAAAGAAAATACCGTACCTAGCATTAATATAATCTTATTTGCCAGTAGAAGAAGACTTCACATGTCCAACATTTTCGAGCGTAGGTTTTAGACGGACCTAGTACGGGAAAAAACCTTACCAAGCTATTAAAAACTCGTAACTGAATGTAGTAGGGAATTTTCAATGAAAAAGGTCTTTCCGTGCAGCAGGAGTGTAGGGGAAGACTTATTTCTCCTGTGAATAATAAAGCAAACGCCTATCCCCACACAACCCGGGGCGCTTACTAGTCGCTTTAATTATTCATAATAAATAAAATAATAATGCAAGCTTACATCCTCACACGTTCTAGGGCGCTTTTGTTATTAATTATGTTACAAGCGCCCTACAACGTGTGAGGATGTAAGCATGCATTATTATTTTATTTATTATGAATAATTAAAGCGACTAGTAAGCGCCCCGGGTTGTGAGGGGATACGCGCCTGAGTTATTATTCCAACGGAAAGTTCTGATAGCGGTAGGGGTATGCGAAGATACGCTTTGCCAACAATAGCCAAACGCTACCTTGAGGTCGTAGACATATATGTCGGTGAAGCCCAGGAGAGCTCAGTGCACAGTGTAAGATAAACAGGCGGTCCCATGTAGGAACAACTTTTGTTAAATACGTGTGCTGTTTTATATAAGTTCTAGCAGATGGCGAATGAGAGTCGAATACTATACATAGTTTTTTTTTTTTTCTTGATGAATAGCGTGATGTGGTAAAAGTTGTTGTAGTAAGGTAAAGGCACCTATTATGAGCCACTTACTTACTACCTTTTTGGAATCATGGTCATTGTAAAATAATAATACGTTTTCTTTTAATACTTCCGATACCTTCTTGAAGCGCTAGATTTATCAAATGTGTACCAATAGTAATAATTGTGAAAAAGAGTGTTGAAAAGATTAAAATTCAGAAAATGTCGACATCCTTTTTTGTATGTATTATGGGCCTCTAATTTATTTATGTCACTCTGGCCCATAATCTTTGTCCACATTATAGGCCACTTTTAAAAGTTATTACACACAATTAAATCACACTTATTTTTTATTCCTTGTGATATTTAAATAAACAAATGCTTTTAAGTAAGATATATTTTAATTTATTTTCACCAACGGGATTACTTTACTTGGCTTAAAGTCTTTATGTATTCTTGTGGCCCATAATATGTATTTTGTAGGATTTTACATGAGTCCATATTATTGACCACCACATTAGCCCATCAGCATTGGTATATATAAGTATACTAAAGGTAAACAAAGATTCAATTTTATCGTCGTTTTAGGTTAACTTATTTCAACTCTTGATTTTAACAAGTTATTCGTGTTCTGAGGTATATAAATGTCTTCTTCAGCTTCATAAATGTGTACAAAATATTAAAAAACAAAAATACTATTGGTGAATGGCTTAAAACAATGATAAAGTTGCTTATTATCCATGGCCCATAATATGGACATGCTTTGATGGACCGTGAAAATGTGTGGGCCACCTTGCTAAGTAACGGCCCGTTATATATACAAAAAGAAATTATATGTTCCATAAGTTAGGCCATTATTTTATTTAAAAAATTGGATTTTTAATTGAAAAACTAAGATTATCACGTGAATCTACAAGCTTCAAGCTACTTGCAACGTTATCATAACATTACCTACAAATTTCTGGTTATTTAATAAATTGCAGTTTAATGAACATGGTCGAGAGCCTATGATGCACTTACTGTCCTACAACGCCTGTTAGATGCCCCAACTTTATAGATACGAGATTTATCTTTTTTTTTATGATAAAAAACTTTTCAAAAATATATTAGTAAATGAGTCAGTTTAAAGTGTAAGACTTGAATTTTCAGGTCCACTGATTTTCAAGACAGTAAAAGTGACTTAAATCCTTTATTTTTGACGATTAACGTACAGGTGGCCCATAATATGGCCGGTAGCTCATAATAGGTACCTTTACCTTATCTAATTAAAAATTCTTTTAGTACGCTTGAGGTTCGTTACGGTAGCCAGGTGGCTAGGTACTCCTACATTTCATTGTACAGTAAGCTAAATCACAGAATTGTTGCTAGTATATACATTAGTTTAAGGAGCCGTAGGAGAAAAGTTCAGAATGTAGAATCTTGCCAAGAAAATGCATGCTACATTTGAGCATATCAGGAGTGCATGTACATTTTTCAAATTTTTCACCAGGAAAATTTTTGAAAAGAAGAAAAATTATGAAATATTGACAGTTTAACACGGCCTCTCATGAGAGAACAATATTAGGTTGCCTTTTAATTAAAATTACGGTGTATCATAAAATTATTCAAATTAAACAAAAAAGTTTTTATGGTTGTCTTATAGTCACAAAAGTAAGATACTCGACAAAAAAAATCACGACCCACCAGGCNACAGAATAGCCTATTTTACTAGTTATTTAGAAAAGTTCAAAATGTAGTATCGGGCCGAAGATAGTGTACGTTATATTTGTGCACATCAGGAGTGCACATCAATTTTTTATGTTT